GGGTATGGTGCGAAAAGCATTCCCCGCGTGAAAAAAAGTAAAAAGACTGTTGTCGGAGTTTTTAGGGCTCCAACTACCCGTAACGATTGCCACACATGTTCTTATGGCAAGTGGAACCGATGGCTTAACGTACTCTCCAAGGCACGGAGGGGTCTCAATATGTTGAAAGAATGGTCATCCATTCATAGACTGACCTGGCTAGGATTGCTTAACTGTGCAATATGTTAACCTACCACTTAGCCACGAGCCTAGTTAAAAATTATTGGTTAACAAATACTTTAACAAATACAACAACAGAATTGCTTAACACTGATTTTCTGTAAGGCCGAAATTCCTGTCGAAATGATGATAATACTTAGGATTCAGTTATATTTAAAAGGACTAGTATGGAATTCCGTTCTATAAATTCATAGTATTATATGACAAAAATAATTTTAAATAATGTATAGGACTGAATAATAATCACCGCGTAAAAGGAAAAACATAAAATATTCAGAACATGTCCTGATCCATATAGTATCCACAAATCAATACATCGTGTAGTTAGGCACGTATGTTGTAAATGGACTTGTGGGGGTAACAAAGAACAGGAAAATCTTCAGTCTGTCTGTACACGACGTGGTTGACGTCAAGATGCATATGATAAGCATTCAATAGTCCAGACATGCTTGGAAAGGGTGGGACTGTGACGTTAGGACTGTGCACGCATGCCAAAATTAAAAACTGCAACATGTAATTTGCAACCAATTTGCACAACAGCATCTGTTTTCAATTCGCAATTGCGTTCATTAACATTACCATTTTTCTATCTATTAGAATAAAAATGCCTAATTTCTAATTTTACAAAAAAATATTTTGCATTGGGTTTTCTTGGTTGAGATTGAAAACCTTTCAAGTTCATTTAACAACATTATTTAAAGCTCGAAAAGCGCGCAAAGACCAACGAACGCAAAACTAAAAAGAGGTTCCTTTATTTTTTTCATATAAGTAATAAATGTTGCCTAGAATGAATATTAATCAAATACTTTAAATTACTATTGAGTTTATCAAAATTGGAAACAACAAATAAACGGACCTGTTTATTCTTTCTTTTGTGAAAATGCCGGCAAAGCTTTTCTCTAACATTTCTTTTGGATAAAACATCATTATGACGATCAACAAATCTCGTACACGCCTCTAAATCTTATGTTCCATAAAATACACGTTATGGTATCGTCTAAGACGAAAAGAAGTCGCAAAAATACTTAATAAATTCACTGTAAGCAGAATGTAAATGAGACCACGTGACAGGAATATGTGCGTTACATACATGATAAATGCGAGACAGGGGCTGACTTTGGTGCAAACTTGAGCTTTGTTGCCAAAAGCTCTGCCGACGAAGGCAATAAATCCTACTGACCCATTAAGATGTACCCAAAAATAAATCTTTTCTACACAAAGATCTTGAACAAATTGCCGACTAAAGAAAAATGTAATTCCCAAAACTGCTAAAGGTTGTCTGAAGCCATTGTACATTGATGACTCTTGAGGTGGGAGAACGCTCTTTTATTAAAGGTCTGAAATATATGTCCGGATGTTTTGATGCGTTAAACAATAGCGGGAAGCCGCAGCCGGTATAAGTTCGGTAAAATACCTCAAATTTGCAGAACAATTTTGACCATTGGACATATTAAATGATGCAGAACTTTGCCAAATAATTCTTTTATATTTTAATGAGTACCATGTAGTAGACTACAAAAGCCCCCATTCGAAATTTCGGGTATTGTATTCAAATACTACAATAAGGGTGAATTCGTCCTTATTTCGACTTTAGTGTACCAAGTCTTGCGACATGACGTGATGTAAATTTTCATCGTTGATTATCAGTTAATGAATAGCTTAAGTTACTGACATAGCCAGGATCTCTAAAGACAGAATCTAGTCCAATTAGCACAACAAGACAGACACAGACAGAAGATAGACTTTACCCTATGACTTGATCCATAAGTTCATTGGCTTACTATGACTATACATATCGTCTCATATGACTATCAATAATTTTCATCTTATTTGCCAACCATTGAATGAATTTAACCTGTTTCGTATATGTATGGTTTTTTAGGTGGAAAAATATTAGTAATTTTCATTTACCAAATTATAAACCGGACACTGCTACTATCTACTGCTACCTTAGTTCCGTTTCTCTATTCTAAACCTACATTATCCTTTACCCAAGGATCTTTTCCCTATCCACCTTCCTTACCCCAATTTGATATCATCTTTTATTCCATCTCAAAACGATTACATGCTCAAGGAGGGAGGGCGTCAGACAGAAGGCCACTCTGAAAGAATTCAGCCAAAACGTTTTGCAATATACACATTTGCCAACCCCAAGTAAAATTAGGGAACGGCAGGCAAATTATGATGATGATTTAGTAAATAGGGTTGTCGATGATCTATTTTAACAGATCTTATTAGTTTGGCTTATAAGTAGTTAACTGTCAGATTTTGGCAGTCCATCTTGACCTACTTTTAATATATGTTTACTGGTAAAAGTAGTTCAGATCACTTGAAACCGATCTGATAATGGGATAAGGAGATGGATACTTAAATTGCAGTGCAGTGACTACTAGAGAATTTTCAACTTAAAGGCTAATGATTGATTGATTGAAATTGATTCACTGATCGACCTTATTAACGATAAACTAATGACGGAGACTGGAGGATGATAACAAAACTTTTTACTACATTTACTTCCTTTACATATTATTCAAGCCAACTACATCCTAAAATATTACAATGTACATTTTAGGATGCTCCAATGTTAGAATTTTAATATTTCATTGAAGTACTTACATTTCAAAAGTAAGTATTTACAACGAATGTAACTGTAGCGGCTTTGGAAGGTCTTTGCACTTAACAGTGATATTAGGCTATCAACATGTTAGCGTATCGCGCCATCTGACAGGTGATTCGCCGCCAGAATGTCTGTCGAGTATGCAAGTGCAGTTCAGGGAAATTTAGCACTTAATGTACATATTTATACCATCGAATCGTTGAACAAAATGATTATTAATTGATTTAAGAATTCTCGCTGGCATTTGTTTGTGCAAAATGGTGGCAAGTAGGTGGTAGATATTACAGACTTGACGCATTATATCTGGACAACTATATTGAGTGCTATATCTGACATTAAATAAACATAGATGTTATACAAAAAAAAACTACAAGTGATTGCAAAGATAAAAGTCTTGGTCTAAACGATAAATAATACCAGCGATTAACAGAGCTTTGAAAAACTTATTTTTCAATGCAAAGATTAACATTTAACATTGATTAGTAGACAATATGGTTTTGTACAGGTGTTTTAACAACTTGAATCTTATAAAGCATGAATCAGAGCGTTCCGCTAGCAATACTAATGTACGGAATACGACGTTTCCGGCATAAATCAACAATCTTAAACATTTGAATGTATGTGAAGAGTCGAATTTGACAGTTATGAGCAGTTAGCTTAAGAATATACTGTGGACAGCGACCATAGATGATATCTAAATAGATGCTAAAGTGAAAGATATTATCGCCAGTTCTGCTACTAGTAATACTCAAATATATTCCGTGGACGAAATACAAATACTAAGCATTTTAATATTAAGAATTTCGGACATGTTCAGACCGAAATTCCTGTTGGTATGGCGAACGCATAAAATTATTTCTAGCGAAATGATTGACGTCTCCGATTACATTATATTGATATTCTGATGTTTTTAAAGTAACAGAATCAGTGTGAATCTACAATTGGTGTGGAACGTGTATTTATTATAAAAAAAGTCAAAATATTACTAAATAAAACGCTGCTTTTTGTCGAAAGAATCGTAGAAAGCATTCATCAGACATTTCATGTACCTTGTAAATATTACGACATAATTATAATTTTAAGGTTTATAATTTCATTAGAGCATAGGGAAAATTACAGTAATGTTTGATATATGTATAGGGCTGAATTTTTGACGTAACACACAACTCTGCTTGACTGTTTAACGAGCTTAAAAAATAATTTTCAATTTGCCGCATACTTTAACACTTACACCGTGCTTAATTTCTAAGAATCGTTAAACACATATTTAAAGGCAGTTTACTATGGGTTATAAATCTCCATGAATGAACCCTTTTATCGCTTCACGTAGGATCGGGTTCTCGAAGCGCATCGCAAGTGCACGCAACAACTCAATGCGTACGCGTATCGCAACGTTCGATTTTTTTTCCATATTTATAGCACTTTGTCTTTGCAGTTTCACACGATGGTGTCTATAAATATTTTCTAGAGTTCTTTACACTTTAACACAACAGAGTTTTACATAAGTGACAATTAGTTTTTAAATTTACTTTTCATCAATTGTATACAATACCTGCTATTGAGGTGGCTTTAATTAATTTACTTCTTTTTTTATTACAAAGGTGGCAAATGAGCAGACAGGTCACCTCATGGTAAGCGACTAGAGACCTTCATGAACACCTGCAACTTATGAGTCACAAATGCGTTGCGGGGCTTTTAAAATTATCACTTAAATAATAACTAAGGCTTAGAATATTACACTTTAAACTACCAACATAATTTGTCATAAAACCCGATGGTTTTATAGTTATAACATCTTACAATATTGCCAAGGAAAACTGACTCATCGAGTTAATCTTCCAACAAAATGCAAAAACTACCAAAACACAAAGTTCAATGGTTTACCTACCTAATAGTCTGATACGTGTTGTGCATGATCACATCTCCACTAGGATGTCCAGTTTCCCATAACGGTTGGAGAACTCTGCCGAACAGTGTAAAATGACGGTCGAAACGTGCGGGTGCAAGCCAACGGCCGTGTCCTGAATCCCAATTAGACCAGACAAAATGGACTATATAACGCGGACTCTGCCTGTAGACAACACACACCAACTAGCAGCTTAACGCACAGTACCCTTTGATAGTTTGTAAGGGTTTCAAGTGTTCGGAGTTATACCAAATAAATATGAAATTCGTCCATTTATTGGTGGGTTTGAGCTGCATGCTCTGGGAGATTCGAGGATATCCGTACTATCCAACTTACGGAAATATAGATACTTGTAAGTATGTTTCCTAAATTTTTTATTAGTTTTGCTAAGCTTCCAAATAGTTACAATAACTTTGTCCATGTCTCGAAACGTGTATTGGAATTAGCTCTTAAATGATTGAAGACTACAAATTATGATTCAAAATGTAATTTAATTTTTTTGTTACTTCATATTTATTGAAAAACATACAAAAGAACTTTATTTCAATATTGCTAAGACTGCTAGACTAAAATTTATTAAGTTTTACAACTAAGCGATTCATAATAATTACAGTTTTGACGAGAATTATAGCGATTATGTCTTGAAAACGCTGTTACATTGTGACCCCGGCCGGAGATATATGACCGAAACGTCAGGAATATCATAGCCATGCCTAGTGTGCATAAGGGAACGCGTTAATTTCCGTCAATATAATTGTAAAAAACTATAAATATACTCGTATTAGCTTTTCTCTGTATCACTGTACATCTTAGCTTAAATTTTCTTCTTTACAGATTCGTATGGTGACTCTAGTCGCGGTGGCATGGCATTAAGCCGCTACTACAACCCGTACTACAATCCTGGCAATGGAGGAGCAAGTATGGCTGCTTTCCTGTACAGACAGCCTGAACAGGCAACTCTTCAGGAATCCAGTCAATATTATCTCCCTGACAGAAGGCGTCAGATCCCCCAAGAAGCCAACTTCAATGTCCCACCCCAGCAGAACGAAATCTTTTACGCCCAACAACCCGAAAACCCCGCTTTTATTCCGACCGAGGCAACAGAAGTGGTTGAACCTACAGAGAAAACAGTTCAAGTGGCACCAACTACAGCAAAATCTGTGGTTGTCCCTGAGTTAGTTGAACATGAAATTGAAGAGGTCCCTGAAGAAGAACCCGTACCTAAGCCAAAGAAAGCTGTAACGAAGAGGAAACAAGTGAAGAGGCCCATTGACGATGATGACGAGGATGATGCCTACTCTCCTAAGATGCCTGCCGCTGCTTACTTCCCGATGTTCTTCGGATGGGGTGGCAGGTCGGGTGGACAACCTAACGGTGGGGGCCCCACTGCCATTGCCAATGCTTTCAGCACCGGCCGCGGTGGTGTAGCGACTAGTCATGCGACTGCTTATGGAATGCCCAGACCCCAAGAAAGAGTGTAATTATTAAGCATGTTTATAGTTAGTGTTAAAAATAAATTTTATATTAACATGTTGTTAAACTTATGTAAAGTTTTATGTGCCTTCTGTCATTTAAGCAAATAAATTTTATGATTACCATTGAAACTTTTACCCAAATCCATGTACCGACTGGCGGAATCAAATAATGGTACTTTACACCTTTTACATATTAAAGAAAGATTTCGTTCTAATCAAATGTAATTATATTATTATATTTAACTCAAAGAATTGCCAAACAAGCCTTTATTCCGCCTGAGAGTAAGGGGTTATCGGCATTTACTTAAATAAAATATATTTATTTATATAGATATTACTCAATGCAAGTGCTTACTTAATTACTGAAAAAGTTTCATAAATTGACAGATGAATACAATTTTGAAATAAAAGTACCTCTAATCCATATTACAAAAAAAATAATTAACTATACTTGATTCGAAAAAAGAGTTATTTGAAGTAGAGCTGAAGGTGGTCATTTCTATAAAATAAGAGTTATGTTTAAAATGTTTGGTATGATTAATAATTGGTGAGCATACTATAATTTAATCGAAATACTTTTATATAAATAGGTAGGTATGTATTTCACAAAGTGAGTGTGAGTGTCAGGCAGGTGGCCGGTCATAAAAGAAAAAAAGCTCAAACCATTTTGCAATGGAATGAAGGACTGCGTGAAAGAATGCTGCGTGATAGAGGAAAGTGATAGAAGAAACCTTGCATTGCACAGACTAGTTTCGGATTAACCCTAAGGCAAAGTTAGGCATATATTTTTTCTTTCTCAGGCCCCTAGGCACATGCCTAGGGGCGGGAGAAAGAAAAAATATATGCCTAACAGAAAAAGAACTGTGTTAGTAAGTATACACATACTTACACAATATAAACAATTCCTTAATTCTATAGAGATGCTTTAGGTTGACATCTAGGATTTAAATTACGTAATTACCACGCAGCACTAGACCCACTTCTTCCGACTGACGCAGGTGTTTCCTGGGCACGTCTGCTTAGGGAGGTACCAGCCGTCTATCACTAAGAGTGAATTGAGTTGCGCCTGTCACCACTGCAGTGCAGTTTGAACTCGGCTCAGCACACACTGGTCAACTTAGCGTCGGGCGTTCATTGTAGTCATCGGAGAGGATTTCTCACTACCAGCCGTTACACGCTCCATGGCTGGCGCGCTTTCCAGAGCCTCATGGAGCCCTGAGTGTGGTATCAGGTAGACGGGTTTATCCCTCCACTCGCCACGAAGGGCTACCGCGACTAGGTGACGTCCTTGTGTAGCGGACGTCTTCTAAATGAGAGTTTATCCCCGAAAGTGGTGCCCGCGCTTTTAAGTAGGACTGGACCGGCGGGAAATATCGTGCGGTATTCTGCAGGAATCGGTGTTAGCGCCGGTCTTGTGGAATATCGCCTACGACTGAGTGCTCCGCGGTGCATTCTTAGATGGTGTCTCCGTCACGTACTTCGCGTAGTAGGAGGCACTTGCATCGACATCGACGAGCCCTCAATGAAGTATCTGTTATATACGGACTCCCAGCTCTGCCAGGTCCTCATGGAGGACTGGACGGAAAGATTTGGTCAACCAAGCCCCGGGCATGCCATTATAGCGGTTGTAAGAGCCATTATGGAGGATTTGTTCGAGAGGAAACACGGGAAACTCTCGTACCGCTTGACGCAAGAGATCACCTGTTTCTGATCGGCAAGGAACCAATACCTGAATGCCACCAATGCGGTGGAGTGGCGTAGACACGGTGAGAAGCAGAGGCGTGGCCTCGTGACGGCCACGGACTGAGGATTCTCTAGCTCGGTGCCGAGAAAAACAGGGTGTAGCGGGACCTGAAGAGGCTTGGAATTGGCCTGCCAGTTCCGGGTACGGGCCAGATACTGCAGGTGGCTCAGCCAGCGGAGGTCGCTGAATGAGGTCCATCCTGCATAAGTGCAGGCCTGGGGTGACATGTGAGGCCATCTGTCACCAAAAAAAGGAAAGGTCCGGGAAATAACAGCTTTTATTAAGAAAGTCTTAATAAAAGCTGTTATTAGATGCCTCCTATTTTAGGCTCATTGTGTGGTTTTAGTCCATTTGATTCCGACACACCGCCCCACCGCAAACCCCAGTGGGGTGATAGGTGACAGCACTGACAGCCAATGTACCCAATAAAAGATTTAGTAAAGAATTGTCAACTAAACTTTGGAGTCATCACTACCACAGATATGGTACGCTCTATGGGCGCTAGAGAGAAGCGGCGATGAGATGCTCGCCTAGGGCGCTCTTGATACTTAATCCGCCTCTGGCACCGACTCCAACTAAGTTTGTGAATAAGATAAAAAGATGTTGATGATAATGAAATATTTATTTACTAAACCCGTATTTAGACATTTTACATAGAACACCATCTTTGGATCAGTTAATTAATTTTCTATGCGTGGCTTGCGATACAGTACAGTAATTACTTGTAATAAGGGCATATAAAATTTACAGCCCGAGAACAAAAGAACAAAGACGCAAAGGAATTCCCTGTGACAATAGAATCGATATCAGTAATAATTATAGATACTCGCAATCTTTTAAGCTGTTACTTAGTATCATCGACCATCTTTGTTTATTTTTAGTTAGAGTCAAATTATAGAACTGACCACTTTATGATGTTGTCTGGCCAGATCAATGAATAAATCAGCGTTTGACAATATGTACAACACACGTTTAGTTTAGAATATGGTCAATCATTAGTACCTACCGTTTTTTAAGGAAGAGGGGGCAAACGAGCAGACAGGTCACTTATTTACGTCTGCAATTCAGGAGTTACAAGATTATTGCCGGCTTTTTCTTGAAGGTTTGAAGGTCGTATCAGTTAGGAAATAACCTACCTTTATCATATCGTAAAATAGTTATCAACAACATCCACTGTTAGAGGCACTAATATCGTTTGCATTATGTGATGCATCATGGCGGCAGACAATGACGTTATGACAACTTTTTTTTCACTTCACTATAGTCGGATAGAATTAGCAAATCCACGAACAAAATTGATAACCTCCATTTTCTATTTTTATCTGTTTGTTGACGACGTTACGATTAACATATTTCATTTCAACGTTTTGATCCGTTCATGTAAACTTTACATTATACGTACATACGTTTTATAACGTTTTACAAGAAAACTTTAAATCGTACAAAGAAAGTGTAAATGTACGCAAAATTTGCAATAAAAAGATGAATAAAAAGAGACTTGTTGAGTCCCGATTGGTTGTATGGTCCCGCTGTAGGAATATATCCTGTGTCGCGGGGTACTTTACAAATATACATGAAACGGAAACAAAGAACACCCAGACTCAGAACGACAATTTGTGGATCACAAAAAGTGTCGTCCCATGTGAGGATCCAACCCATAATACTCAGCTCAGTAGGAACCGGCGTGGTTACCACTTAAACCACTACGCCATCCGTGCAGTCGAAACTTAAGAGAGTAATTTGTCAGTACCTTATTTATTTTAACCATGTTAGAGCCCTAATTCATTTCGTTCATTTCATTTCACCGAATGAGTGAAGTTACCGGTGCCCAAACCCTTCCCCTCCTAATTGTGGGGGAAAGACTCAAAAGGTGACAACCCCCTTGTCACTCTTGAGTTGCAGGTGTTCATGGACGGCGGTAGTTACTAGCAGGTGACCCGTTTCTTGGTTGCCCCCGTATAGCATTTAAAAAATAATTCGATTGTTTATTAAAGCTTTAATATCATTAATGCCTTCAAGTAATCATATGGCCAACATACCTATCATCAAAGTAACGTTTAAACGGTTTAACGGTTTCAACAATATGCTTTGAATTTGCTGAAATGAACATCATCTCTTCTATTTAAACCGCTTCGGTAACAACTGAATGGATATTATTAATATCAGGCAAAAACTTTGAAAAATCTGTATTGCACCTTTGTTAGAAGCCATTTAGAGTATGCATGTGAAGTTTGGAATCCTTGCTACCAAAAATATGTAGACCGAATTGAGAATATCCAGAGAAGGGTCTTAAAATATTTGTGCTTTCACCAGAAAGTACCTTATCACTCGGAAATTTACTTTGACCTTTGCAAGAAGTACCATTTACTACCCCTTACAACGCGTCGTGAAATCGCTGATTGTACCCTATTATTAAAAATTTTCAGTAACGAAATTGACTGCTGCGAACTTTTATCTAAGTTTAATATTAATATTCCGTCAAGAACTTGCTATAACCCACCGCTGAGTGTACCATTTGCACTGACGAACTATAGAAAAAATTCTTTTGTTATTCGTTCAACTAGAAGCCTCAATAATGTGTGTGAACAATTTGGAATTGATATTTTTAATGTTAGTGTAACGGGAGCGAGGAGGTGTTTAAGCCTTAAATTCTTCAGGGGTGATGGTGGGGGGTCTGAGTAGTTATTGTTATGGGTCCTGTCTGTTTTGTGTGTATATTATTACGTTCTGTGTAATTTGTAGGTGATCTGTGCCTGTAACTTATATAATACCTCTTGATCCTATTCTGTATTGTCTTATGCACTGTAACTTATCTCTGACTTATATAAGTGAGGATTTGTTATTGGCTTTCTGTTTTCTTGACTGTTTTTATTGTAATCCTCATAGCTGTAAATCCTCCATAGTTGTAATAAATAAATAAATAAATAAATAAATAAATAAGAATTCAAAATTTCGAGGAGAAGAAAATCATCAGAAATTCTAAATTTTAAAGTTTATTTTAACACCATCTACCGAAAATACTAAGTAACGATTCGTTACTTATGTTAACTTTACTTAAATATGCATCTAGAAGTTAAGAATCAAAGATCGAATAAATGTAGTACACCCTATTAATAAAAGAGGGCGCTCTAACTGAAAATATATACTACTTTTTCCTATATATACTGCCTTTTGTCGGATCGTTGTTAAAAAAGTTGTTCATCATGTTTTCATGACGAATTCTCTGACAATATATACCTGATTTAATGAATGGTAAACTAAC